TACTTACCTGGAAATCCTATCAACTTTCTCTGCAGTCCAATATGCTTCCTGCTCGAGATCGTTGGCGAGTAATCCAATCTGAGCCAATACGTTTATGGATTCGAAAACGCTGCTCACTGGACTGATTGTACTTTGTGCAAATGGTGTTGTTCCATTAGTGGTTATATCCTTCAAAACAATTACATTCAACCGTTTTTTCAGAAAATTTGTTGACAGTTAACTGCAAATGAGTCCTCAGAAGTAGTTCTTGGATCGTTGTTAGCGGCGGAAGTGTCAGATATTGTTATAGCACCATAGTTGCTTGTCTTAGATCCTCTTCGTCGTCCTCTCTTTCTGGAGCACATAGTGTGCGAAGCAGTGTCTTGCTGTTTCGCTATTCTGTAACAGATCCAATCTGATTTATTTTAAAATCATCTGGATAATACAGCCAATACTTTGTTCTTATTAGCTTCAAATGTTTGCGATTTTTTACTTAAAGTTTAGCCTAAGCCTAGAAGACGTTTGGGACTTTGCAAATGCAAAATTTTATAAAAAAAGTTGTAGACAAAGATCCGTAGCTGTAGGTACCCGTTTAAAGTCGGCAATCCGCACTTTCGCTTTTGACTTTGTTTCTTTTTCCTTTTGCTCTCTCTTTCTAAGTAGCAGGCGAAGGCCGTTTCGATCATGGTCAGAAAAATAAAGCTAAAAGAAACAAAAATTTCTGGAAAGGCTAAAATCAATGCTGACTTGCCTACCCCGTAGATAACACCATATAAACGTCCATGGATTTAACGTAGCCAACTTTCGGCAGAGATTTTGCCACATTTCCATACTGCAACAGATGGTTACCTCTCTTTGTACTATTTCTAACATAGAATTTTCGAATGTTGAAGTTCACAGTAGTCTTCCATTTGGTGTTTATGCTCAAAAAGTTTCACATACCTGAAAAGTCAACGCCATTAATGAAGAAACTCCTAGCGTTGTTCGAGCAGGAAGCGCTTTTAAGTCAATCCAGAAGGCAACAAAAGATAGTAGCACAGAGGAATATG